AGTGTGACCACAGTGAAAAAAATACTTGCAGCAAGAACGAACGAAATCTCCCCAAGAAAAAAAAAAAAAAGAAACCTCCCCAAGTAGGCCATGCCCAGCCGGCCGCAGGTAATTCAGAAATAAGTTCAAATTCAAATAAGAAATATCTGTTTCATCTGTTCATCATCTCATTATTGCGTAGGGGTACGAAATTGGGGGCCTCGCCACACCACTCGAGAAATGTGAAAAAGACAAAAATGTGGCCGATGCATCTGGTCATTGTTCTAGCACCAAGTTCATTCTCATTTTGCACATTTCGAGAGTTGGTGGTGGCGATGCCCTGGGTACAGTGTACTTCAATAGCACATGGGTGTACCAACTGAGATATAGGGCCTCGCCACACCACTGTCCAAACGAACAGAGAACAAATGCATCTTTCCGCAGAAAGTGGTAAGATGCATCCATTGCTATTCATAGCAACGGATGTATCCTGCCCTTCTCTGTGGGATTATGCATTCTCTCTTTTTTCGTTTCGACAGTGGTGTGGCGAGGCCCATAGGCCTCCTGGTGCAGTTTTTGGTCTTTTCTTTCCTTTTCTTTTCTTTTCTTTTCTTTTCGTTTATTTTCTTTTCTTTTCTTTTTTTTTCCCTTTTTTTATGCAAGGGCAACGGCCTTGAGACATCATCATTTTTTCCTGTTTTTTTAATGTAAGGGCGATGGCCTTGAGGGATTCCCATCGATCGGACTAACCAGCCTTTGGGGGGGTAAATTCGATCTTGTGACTAATCTTTTTTTTTTCTTCTTTTTTTTTTCTTTTTTTTTTTTTGTTAAACGCGCCCAGTGCCCAATCTTGTGTCTAATCTGACACCGCAGGGTGGCCTTTTCAGCCCAAAGTGGTAAACGGGTGGTCTGACTGGCCCCAGGCAATTCAGAAATATTTGGTTTTACTAATCATCATGTACCTGACCGCAAGCACGGTCAGATTGGATTGGATTGGATTGGATTCGAACTGGGATCTGTATTTCAACAGTTCATGGGTGGGGACCCATTGAGCTAGTGAGCTAGGCACTTGGGTGTTTTTTCTTTTCTGATAGGGGGCAGGAAGGGGAGGGGAGGAGAAAAAAAGGGCAACTCAGGGCATGCTCACAAAAGGACTTTTCCGACTGACTTATGGACGGAATTACGATCGGATACATATCTGTCTGGCTGGTAGTGATTACGGTCAGATACATCCTGAAAGGACCTAGAACGTGAGTAAGGCCTCAGAAGAGTCTAAGGAAGCATCAAGATTTTTCCCATCTGCAAACTGCATGGTCGCATTGGTCAGTCCATTTTCCCTGTTCTTTATTGCAATTACGGCAGGTCCTCGATGTATCTGACCGCAAGTACGTCCAGGAGCCAGTCAAAAAAGCAATAGTGCGAGCATCCCCTTAATGGAATACACAGCACGCAAAAGCACATAAGATGCAGTTGAGCTCCTGTAGAGAGCCTCAGAAACCACATGCCCGATTTTATTATCCAACCACCCGTGCTGCACTTACGATCCTCTCTCTCTCTCTCTCTCTCTCTCTCTCTCTCTCTCTCTCTCTCTCTCTCTCTCTGTGCGTGTGTGTGTGTGTGTGTGTGTGTGTGTGATGAAGCATCTGCTTTTTTCTGTTCGTTTCTTTGATTTCCCATATTCGTTTCTTCACATTCTTTGAGTTAAATCCATCCATCCATCGATCCATCCATCCATCAATCCATCCATCGATCCATCCATCCATCAATCCATCCATCCATCCATCAATTAATCAATCAATCAATCAATCAATCAATCAATCAATCAGTTAATCGATCAGTTAGTAAATCAATCACAAATTACTCAACCAATCAATCAGTCAATCAATCAATTAATTATTAATCAATCAATCACTTAACTACTAAATCAAGCAATCAATCAATCAATTACTAAATCAAGCAATCAATCATTCACTTCAACCAAGCAAACAACCAATTAATCATCAACCATCAGCCAACCAATCGATCAGCAATTAATCAATCAATTGGATCGACTGTTCATTTCTCCATGTCCTTCTCCTTCTCCTTCTCCTTCTCCTCCTCCTCCACATCCTCCATAGGGATTGTTTTCCTTCTCCATGAGCGCAGCCGGTAGAAACCGGTTGTGATTGTGTGCGATCTGAGGCAAGTACACACCTAGCTTCTTGCTCGTGTGTGAAAGCAGCCATTGTATTTGTTGTTCTTCTTCCTCTACCACCCCCCCCCACACACACACACACACGTACTCTTCTGGCACACGCATAAGAACACGCCGGATCGTATAGCCATCTTTCTTTTCTTTTGTCTTCAGGTTTCTTCGCTTCGATTATTCGGTTCTTGGTTTTTTGGGACTTTCTGTTTAGTTCTGAAATCCTCGATTCGTCTGTCGATCAATAAAGCAATTGATTGGTTGTCCTTCTTCTTAAATCATCCATTCGTTCAATCAATCAACAATAGGTTGGTTTTCCTGGAGGGGATGCATTCCACGTGGAAATTTTGGAACGCGTCTGACGCCCTAGAACGCACCTCTCTCTCTCTCTCTCTCTCTCTCTCTCTCTCTCTCTCTCTCTCTCTCTCTCTCTCTCTCTCTCTCTCTCTCTCTCCACCAAGAGGACGAAGGCGGAGAAGTAAAATGGAGAGAGGGGTGCGTTCCACGTGACGCCTGGCGGCGAAAAATGCGCCCTTTCCCTCCGCCTCCCTGCGCCCCCCCCCTCTTCCCCCACTTCACCTGCTCTCTCTCTCTCTCACACTGTGTGTGTGTGTGTGCGCGCGCGCGCGCGTCGAAAAAGCAGAGCGCAAACCCTAAAGCAGCACGACGGAGTGAAAGCAAAAGAGTGGAAAAGAAGAGAAAGGGGTAGAACGTGAGACAATATATACAGACCTCATGTGCGTCTTTGTCCTCTTCTCATCCGTAGCATTGATCCCCCTACTCCTTTTTTTCGCTTTTCGCCACGCCCAAAATGCGAACACTCCTGCAGCCCGTGGTGCAAAGCATGCCTCTCTCTCTCTCTCTCTCTCTCTCTCTCTCTCTCTCTCTCTCGCGTACACGCGCGGACACACGAGTCCTCCGTGGCGTCGCAGGATGAAACTGTGTGTGAGTGCGCGCCCGTTGTAAGTGTTTTCGCTATGTTTTTTGGGGGGGTTTCAACCCCCCCCTTTCGGCTAGGGCCCTTGGAAAACACGGCGCCAGACAATTCCTTATGCGGGAATTTGCAGTGGGATTTGAACCTCCAACCTGTTTACTGACAATTGCATGTTTGGCGGCCAAGGATTTTGCCTTCGACGCTTTTTACATGATGGATATCGAGGCGGACCTTTTTCGCAGCCGTTATGAACCGACGTCTTGGTAAAATTGAATGACTTACCGGGGCCAAGGTCCCACTTGCACGGATTAAGAGATTCTGGCCGTTGATCTTTGCTATCTACGGTCAATATCGCTTCATTCTTGTAAATGGGACCTAGACCCGGCTGCCCTAGCGCTGTAGAAGATTTGACGACTTCCTGGAAAAAAAAAAAAAAAGATTTATCGACTGGCCTAGCTCAGTTGGTACACCCCTCCTGGGGCATGGTCCCACTAGGAACCGGATAGGATGGAAAAGAGTTGTGTGGCAGTTGAGTGACCCAAATCCTGCAGTGCAGTACTGGTGATCCCACGGTCAGTATTTTACATGTATTTCCCGAAAAAGTAAGGGGATCTTCGTTCCCCTCCTCCTCTCCTTAACACTGTGCATGCCGGTGCAAAGGAAGTTTCCCGCCAAAATCTTTTCAATCCGTTGGGGACATGGCCAATCCCAAAAGAGAGTGGGGTCGGCCATAGGCCCACTGGATAGAAGATTTCCAGTATTTTGCTTGCTGTTATGCAATTATCTCATTGGGTGGAGCCCTCCTTCAATCAGGGAGTATATGGAGGGCGTCAGGATCACTGCTAACAGAAGTTGAGTTTATTCCAGAAAATGTGGCAGTTACTTTTTGCACTGTTGTTGCAACCACCAGCATCAGATCATTTGTGATCTGATGGTTGGGAAACACTCTGCCGTGATTTTATGTGGGAGGTCTCTGTTTCTTTTTCTTTTTTTTTTTGCCTTTCTCCAGTTTTCTCACCTCAGAAATTCGTAATGAACCTGTCAGGTCGCGGTCACTCAATGTCACACTGGATCAGCCACATTCTTATCCGACTGCTAATGGGACCACACCCCTGAAATGTTGAAGTACAAATGCGAGTTCGAACTCCTCTGGGTTCAGATGAATACAATACTGAAATTCCGATTCATTTTTTTTTATTTTTTTTTTCGAATACTAAACTATATTCCTCTTTCAATTTCACCTTTCACTACCTACCTACCGTTACTCCTAAGGCTATATAAGGGTGAAGTCCCACCGCCCAAGTTGAGTTTTCTCAACGTTGACCTTTCTATCACGTGTGGCATAGTGGATCGAAGCTCTGCCGTTGATGTATTGCGAATCTAATGGTACCGGAATACAGGAGAATAACCTATTAGATTTGGTCGTCTGTAGATTTTTTATTTGACGTGAAATTCGTTTTGTAGTATGCTTTGGCCCTTTTGGTTTGGGCGGGAAACCATTTTAAACTACCCTACCGAGGGTAGTGTAGATTTCTCGGTAGATCTTCTTTTTGTTTTTTTTGACATCATTACATCCTGAAACAGACGAACTCTGACAATTGTGTTTGACTCTCTGGCATCAAATTCGCTTCCTTTTTTGGACAATGAACGCATTTGACCATTCACGTTGTCCCGGTTCAGTTGACAAATGGTGACCTCCTGTCCCCTCACCACGGGGAGTATCCCTTGTTCACAGAGACATTCACTCCGACTGTGTCATTTTTTATTTATTTATTTAACAATATTTTTTAAATACTTAAAAATGTTGTCATACCATTGCGTTTTCTAAACTCAACTTGGGCGGTGGGACTTTACCCCAGGGGAGTTGTGCAAGCACAGCAACCTCTTTTTTTTTTGTCCAATTAAACAGCCCGAGCAGATGCTAAAGGCGATGGTTTGAGCAAACACCACTACGTTTGGGTTATGAGAGGGCGACCCTGCAATCTATGACAGGACCCCGGCCTCATCTCTTTGACTTGAAATATATGTTGATTTCTATGGGGGGAAAAAAAAATCAAAGATCCGAATCTTCTACTATATTTATCCTCCCCCTTTAAATTTTATAGCAAATTTCAACAATACTATCAAACAAAATATGTTTGTATTTCATTGTTCTTGGACATGTATATGTTCTAAATTTTTTTGAACGTTTTTAAAGTGGTAAAAAATGTCTCAAACGCCGTAAACTTCGATTACAACGTACGCATGTCATATTTGAATACAACATACGTACGTTGTATTTGACTGTACATTATATTAAAAAAAAGAAGAGCGATTTATAGAAGTCAAAATTTCAAAGGTAATTCAAATATAACGCACCCATCCATCCCCACAACATATATTTTCAACAAAATGTATTAAAGCGTTCAATAATATTTTCAATTATCCTAGTTTTTTTGTAAGAGCTACTAAGTCAAATTCGGACCTCTTTCTAAGTATACGAATCCTTTATAGTGAAATTATGTCAATTATTTGTTCCAGAGACCGTCTTCTGATGATGACAATAGCGAAGATGATTATGTAAGTTAGAGAGAGAGATTTAGTTTATTGCTACTTGATATTTCTTTAATTTTTATTACGTCATTCTTAATCTACTCCTTTTAAGGGAAATCCATACAATGGAGAACGTATGGATAAAGCATAACTTGAGTAGAGGGGTCAATAATACCTAACTCACATTTTTACTTAGGTTGTATCACTATAGTTATGTTACTCTACTAATATTGTTTATACATTCAATGTTTCCTTGTCAAAAAAATGCATAGAGTTAACGTTGAAAGACCTTTACATTTGACTTGTCCATAGCCCAAATTATAGATTCTGTAGATTTATATCATACAGAGGTCATAGTTACATCATTAATAACTAGAGTTCTTACCAAAATCGATATATGTCTATCTCATATCTAATTTTGTTTGGGTTTGTTTCATAATCATTTCGTTATTAGTTGTTGGTTTCTCATTCATCGATAAAAATATTCATAGGATTCTGATAGAAGATTTCAATGGAAGCCACATAATTTAAGGTTGCTCTGAGGGTGTCACTCCTTGGTAACGAATCTATCGTCCAATGGTCTTATTACCCCAAATCACTTTCACACCAAACAAACGACAAAATACATCCATGATTTTTTTAATTGCCTTCAAATTGGCATGAGAAGTTTATACCACCAGAGAGAGGTAATATGCAAACAATGAACACGCTAGGATAGTCTCCTCTATAATAGATGAAACTTTAATTCGTTTAATATTTTTATTATGTCTCAAATTGGATGTCAGGGATTTCATAATAATAATACATACAAAACGAGCGATTATATCTCATTGTTTGACTAACCTATGAAGTAACATTGATGGTGCTACATTTTTATTTACCATTACTCTTGTTGTGTTATTCTAGTGGAAAATTTTAATCCATCTCCTAAAACATGGACCTAAACTAAACTTCTCCATATATTATATTGGAAAAAATAGTCAACGTGATTATAAGTATTTTCAAAGTTAATGAAAATAAACACAACATCGAGTTTAGATTGATGAGAGAATTTAACTAACTCATTAATGAGCAAAATATTATCACGACCAGGGTAACCGGCGTTCAGGATGGGCCGAACGCCCGAACATATGGGACCCCTTGGGGATGCGTTCGACCGTTCGGGCCGAACGCGGACAAAAAAAAAAAAAAAAAAAAAAAAATCAAAATAATCTGTAAAAAAGATATGTTATGGAAAAAAATAAATTAAACAAGATTTGCTTAATCATTACATCCGAATTCCTTACCAAATTTGAAATTAAAATAAAATACAGAAAATAAATACTAATAATAAAAATAAATAAAAATATAAGGAGAACTAAATTTAGTAAGTGCGCAAGCATGTTTTCGACACCGCCATTTTTGGCGATTTTTTATTTTTTTTTGGTACAGCTAAATGCCTTGAAAATTTACAGATGTGTACGTCACATTATACAAAACCCATTAAAAAAATTTCAAAAAATAATAAAAATTTTTAGACCCCGAACTAAAGTGAAAACAAAAAGTAAAAAGTGAAAAAATACGTAGGTGAGCACGTTTTGACACCGCCATCTTTGACGATTTTTAATTCTTATTTGGATTAGCTAAATGACTTGGAAATTTACAGGCATGTACGTTACATCATAGAGAACTAAAAAAAAAAAAAATCAGAAAAAACATATTATGTTTAGGCCCCGAAATAGTTTTTGGCGTGGGCCGAACGCCGTCGGGTTCGGACCTCGTACGGGACCCCGAACGCCCGTACGTACGGAGATCTGCCCGGGGACCTCCGTACGTAAGGGCTGGTGACCCTGATCACGACTATTTATTTATCGAATAAGTTTCGTATGAGGAAATTTGAGTATTTCTGTAATAAATTTATTCAATGTATTGACTAAGGTTTTGGATACCAACTTATATATTATTGTTAGGAGAGTAACGGGGTGATAAGTTTGTACATTCAACTTCTCTAATTTCTTATACAGTAGTGTTATAACACCCTATGCAAATATTTCACTCATCTGACTTATCATCTATATATCTTTATAGAAATCCATGAGATCAGTCGAAAGAAAATCTCATAGAGTCTCCCATAGTTTATTGAAAATGTCATCAATCCTTGAAGTTTTTTCCTCTTCCATTAACATACGAGTCGCTCATGTTTTTTTCTTAGTAAGCAAACATTCTATTTGTTTTTTTTGTTTATCAAAAAATGTTTCAGTCATTGGTTTCAGGAATTCATCCATCTTCAAATTATGTTATTCCTTAGGGATAAATTTATTTTTAGACAGAAATATGTTCGTAAAAAAAATTA